TATATCTTTGTTCGTCGACATTATATGACATGTCATCTTTGCAGGCTATTGTTGCAGAACAAAACTCTGCAACCACTGCTGTGGTAAATATTTTCCAGCAGAACTGCCCACCACCGTCGGTGTAATGATTTCGATAGCTAAACAAACGCCATATCCTGGGCATTCCCACAGGTTGCCGACACTAGCTATTATATCACGTGTGAATGCAACTGCGGCTAAATTTGGTTATTAACAGTGCAATAGTATCATGTCATTGGCAAAAACACTAAGGGCTGCTGGCACATACAGGTTGTAAAGTTTTTGGTATCGATGAACTTACTCGAACAAGACGATGGCCGAAAACATATGATGAAACATCTTCTGGCATGCCTGACAATCGTTAAGTCAGACGGAGGCTTCACATACGATATTTCACACATGGCTGGAATTCGTTAGCGGAAAGAGCACACATTTACAAAATATTTATCGTTCTGCAGAACGTGCATGCATATTCGATTCCGATTTTATGGGTCGATTACAGAGGACAACCGAATTTCAGATTCAGTGATCGCTTTTTCGTAGATTTTAAGAAAAATCGGACTACGATGAATTCCGCCACGAATATGTTTTCTCCTTTGACAAGATGTTAGAGAATCGCGGCAGCACAGCCGTATACCTACTCTACGCATATGCTAAATTTCTCGCACCTAGCTAAAGTGACAAAGGCAGAAGGCATATCTTCAACATTATAACTTGAAGTAAAAAAGTGTTAGGCATGCAATAAAAGAATACAACAGAACAAAAAAATTTTCTCAAAACTATTAAACTGAAAAATTGCACGAATAAAGTCCTTATTTTTAATTAAAATATCGCAATTGTTTTTTATATGTACATACATATTTACAAAATGAATCTTAAATCACCCACAGTAAGTCCAAACATATAAATGACTAATAAGAAAAATAATAAATAACAGTAATATGAAAAATTATGTCGAGAAATCTCTAAATAGTAGCGAAACTGTATCTCAATAATAACAAGTAATTGTAAGCAAGAAATACAACCGACTTCAATGCGCATTCAGGTCGCCCTGGTTACGTAGATCCGACTGTCCTCCCTTTTTTAAAATCATTAAAAAAATTAATACGTATTTTACAGAAAAAAATCAAGATACAGATTTAAGGATTTTAAGTAAAAATAAATAAAGGAAAACTTGTTCGTGATATCTCGACCAAGGTGTATTCATGATACAAAAATCTAAAGGTAAAACCGCTGAGAGGCAGCCAGAACATTTTTAAAGTTTGCTAACATTACAAAAATGTTTTCAAATTTCCAATGTTACAAATACATTCTCATTTTCAGTCTCAAATAAATGAAAATATCAATATATTCATCTATTTGTTTTTTGTTTTACTTTTATTTGGCATTTGAGTTGCTCTCGAAATTTCAATTTTATAAAATTGACAAACTTCAAAAAATAAATGATGGCCGACGAATTGAGCAAGCGGCTTTACCAACTCAGTGCGGCTCTCTTTTAAGATACTATTATGTAGAAAAATTAAAACAAACGATTCAAAATTCCTACAAATTTTTTTTCAATCTGACTTTATAGGATGGTTATTCTGAGAGCATGGTCAAATTCAATCACGCTATTGATATTTTGATTCAAGTATTTTTTGTCAAGCATTCAGTGTGAAGTTTGATCGGAGTTTATATATTGTTCAGTAATTAATCACATTACATTGAAATATAAACGTATAATATGGTAGAAAGTTAGAAATTATTTAGTGTTAATATGCATAATTCGCTCCGAGTGCGTTCACTATTGATCATTTGATTTAAATAATTGGTTCTCAGGCATTCAGTATTATAATTTGATCGGAAATTATATATTCTTAAGTAATTGATCACATTTTATTAAAATATAAACGTTTAATAGGGTAGAAATTGTGAAATTATTTAGCTTTGGCATTAATAGTCGGCCAGAGACAATTGCAGAAAACTGCAACTACTCGTGAAAACTTACAATAAAAGCAATGTAGATGAAAGTAATATTATTATTAAAATTAGATCGATATATAAAACATTTTACATCATTTATTTGAAGTAAATCGGAATATATTTTCACATATAAGATAGTTTCCAATCAACTCATAAAGTACATATTTCACTACAAATATTTTTAAGATCATTTCGAATTGCAAAAATAGCGCTAATTAGTTATATTGAAGTATAAAATATTTTATTAACGTTAAATCTTGCGAGATTTACCATATAAAATCAAATCTCGAAAGCCTGTAGATTTAAGTTAAATCTTCATTAAATCTTCAATAATATTGATTAATAAATGCAATAGGGCTATTCGCGATTCGGTGCATAAGAGCTGACAAATTTATGCAATTGCAGAAATATGCCATGGATTGTGAGCGACGTTTATTAAACTGTCATGGTAAAACTTTTTTAATCAGTTGATAGAAATGTCAACCAGAGTTGCAATGCATAGCATTTTTATGCTATGGATTTTCGGTATTGCAAATTTGTCAAACCATGACAAATGCAAATGCGTGTATTTTGTTTGTGTATTGCAAATCATTTCCAATACAAATTTGCAATGCAATGATGCTAGGCCATTTGCACCGGATCTCGAATAGCCCTAATATGTTGCGTATGGCATCCTCGAATTCAGGCGGCATGTCAAAACGGACATATTTTGTTTACATTTTCCTTGTCACAACAGCCGCCAGATAAATTATAAATTATTTAAAAACAAGAAATACACACATTTATCATGAGTGAGATACTTGAAATTAAAAAAATTTAAGTAATTGATAATATTCGTAATATATTTGCTTACCTATATGAGTACACATATCTATCTACATACATATATGTATGTATGCTTTCTTTTTTAGTGTAATGCTTGAAATACAATACCGGCGAACGGCAAACTTCGCCGAATTGGGCGGTGCTGTCGTTCACCGTTCGCCGAGCTATTTCGCCTACTTAAACAGAATTAGAGTGGTAGCGAAAACAGCTGATCCCATTTGGTCGCCTTTATAATTTGGGTGACCATATTTAGAAAAAACTAAACCATATTTAGAAATGAGGAAATGATAACAAATATAAATGTAAAACAAAGAAAGATTATTATAAATAATTTGTTTCAAGCCAGATTTAATGAATCCACAACTATATTTTTCAAACAACAAAAAAAAAATCGTGTTTAGGTTGTTTTCTTTAAAACTTTGAAAGCAAAAAACAAATACGGCCACCTTTGGCACGCACAGCTGTCATCGCCCAGCAGGGCGATAGAAATAAATCTATCGCCATGAAACGCCGCCAAGCGAACTTCGCATTTCGCTTTGGCTGTGTTCAATTTCATATGCTTGCGGGTGTTCTAATTTTGACAGCGCGAATTTCGCTGTGGTGAGTTCGCCGTTCGCCGGCATTGTATTTCAGCTATAAAACGCCGCCCACGCTGGAGTGATGAAGAGGAGGATGCCCTCCTGGAAATATGGGGAGAAAGGACATATCTATGCCGAAATGGCAGAAGAAATGTGCGTAAGAGGCTACCATTTTTCTGCGAGCGAGGTGAAAATAAAAGTTCACAATTTCACCAACAAATACCGGTACGTAAAAGGAATTCTTAACTTTACGGCCACAATATTTTTTGGTGTTAAGGAAGAATTAGGAGGCATGACACTTGTATTACTTTCATTCATATGGCAAGATTCACCTTTTAAAGTACTCATAAATAATCTCCATGTGCCAACTCCTTTGTGGCCTTATATTAGATTTTCCACGGATAGTGATTTGTCCGGATGGCTGCATACCTGGCAAACCAGATATCCGTTGTATCCTTTACGTAGTAAAGCCAACTCATGCTCGTTAACATACAAATTTTGATTTCATATAATGTGATATTGGTTCTTTCTTAAAGGGACGAAAAGAAAAAGGTAGGGCATTCAGGAGGGTCTCCTTCAAGCTGGCGATATTACCAAAGGATTAACCAGCTCCTCGGTGGCTACAAAGCTTTTAATATAGAGAGCGTTATTGAGGAGAGTACAGGTAATATTTTGTATTGTATTAAAAGTCCTTTATTCACGTTTAAAATGTAATAATATTGTTTTAATTTCAGTGATTGACTACCTTGAGGAGTCGGTGGATATCCGTTCATCCACGCCAATTTCGGGTGAGTCAGTGGAACCTGCAAAGAAGAGGAAAAAGATTAATTTTCAAGAAGAGATGCTGTCTGAATTTAAAAAATCAAATGAAAAAATTCTCGATTTTGTTAAATGTGACTATGAAGAAACAAAGAACTTCCAGACTCAGATGATTACTATTGAGGAAAGAAAAAATCACTTGTTGGAAAAGTTTTTAGAATCGATGCAAAATAAAACCTACGATAAAATATAATGCATTTATTCTTACTTAAATCAAATAAAATGTGTTTATTCTTACTTAAAAAAGTAGCAATGGCATCTCTTATTTCTTGTGCGTTTGAATTATGGTCAGTGAAAGTACTTTCTCTGTCTGGTTGGCCACGATTGTAACGAATTTCATGCTGGGTTTGTTTCATTATCCAGGTGGCATTGATATGATCATTATGCTCATTTAAAAAATTATGCAAAACACAGCAGCTCTTTACAATTAAAGGCGCGTTTTTTTATGTCATTATCAATGCCTTTACCTATGCGCCTAAAACGAGCTTTTAAATGCCCAAATGCATTTTCCACAACTCTTCGTGATTTTGAAAGGTAGTAATTAAATCATTTTTCTTTTCCATCCACTACTGTGGAAAATGGGTATGGTTTCATGAGATTTGGTGATAAGCGGAAAGCGGAATCACCCAACACCAAAACTGGTACGCTTACTCCGCTTATAATTTTTGCATTCTCCTTAAGAAGTGTACTTTCTAAAATTGTTTTAAGTGATGATTTCTCAAATATGTGGGAATCGTTACAACGTCCTGGAGCACCAATGTTGACGTAAATGAATCTATACCTTTGGAAAAAGTTTACAAAAGATATATCGTTACTTTAATATAGGACCTTTCTATATTAAGGTAACGATATGTATATGTGTACATATTTATTTGCGGGGGTATGTATGTATGCCCAAACCAATGGCCACAATCCAGATGGTTCCGTGCGCATAAGTCGTAGTAAATGGCAAACGTTTTTGACTGCCATTCGTCAGGGAGTGGCCAGATGTGACTATTTTGCATATGGACGAAGCAGCTCATGACGGCCAGATTTACACGGATTTAGATTTAGTGGATATAGACAAGGGTCGTGGCACTGCCTATAGGCTTAAAATTTGTAATCGTTCATAACTTTGGAGCCATACGCCGTATCTTAATGAAAAATGATATGAGTGCACTACTAGACAAAAGGGCACGGCGCCGTATACAGACGTGAAATATATAATCAGATAAGGTAAAGTTGTATGTGAAAGTACAACTATAGTAGATATACATACATACATTACATGATGGGTCATTTATAACATTAGTGTTTATATAAATGTATGTTTTGCTCTCAGAAATGTACCTGTAATCGACTAACGCTAACAAAACTATAGAACACCATCCTTTATAATTGTAGTAGTCAGTAGCCTCTTCTGTGGAGGGTTTAATCTCAATGTGACAACCATCTGAAAAGAAACGTTTTCCTTAAATGTGTAGGTATGTATATTTAAATAATAATATTAAAAAAAAAAACTAAAAGCAATTACCAATTGCTCCAAAACATTGAGGGAATCCAATAATTTCAAAACCGTCCACACAATCCTGTATTTTATTTGGACTCAAAAAGGTGCTGGGCAAGTATTCCTGGCGTAGCACGTTCCAAACTTCGTAGCGAAATTCCAAAAGTATTCTCCACACACTAGTTTTAGATACACCAAATAATCTGCATATTGTAGCATATTCAGCAGACCAGCGCAAGCAATAAAGCGCAATCGCAACACGCTTCTCCAGTGGTATACAAGCCCTGAAGACGGTATCGCATTTTGCCATGCCCTTCAGCTTATCGCACAAAATTCGGAAGCATGAACGGCTCATGCGAAAACTTTCTTTAAAAGTGTGGTGATCGTACTGTGGCACTTCTAATTCCCAAAAATTGCTGTATCTCTCCTGTTACTTTTTCAGAAGATAATTTTTCTTGATGCTTCAAAATGATTTACTTACAGTTATCCACAGTCTTCTTGATTTCTTTTCATTTAACAATGAAAGAATTATCGCGTTCCGTTGAATTATATGCCTCAGAATAAATTTACGCCGTGTTGTTCGCTTCCTTTGAAACTCCAACAACATGGCCCCTTGAGTATTGGACAGCATATTATACATTAAAAAATTCTTCGCAGATATCCATTTTGTATTTTAAATGAAATTTATATTTTATAAATGTTTTTGAAGTGCAATGTAAACAAATGCTGAAATATTCAAAAAAATAAACGTCAAATAAATCTCAACATAGAAGTGGAGACGGTGTACATTTAAAAAAGAGATTTATTAAATCCCCTTAGATTTATTAAATCTTAATGGATAAATCTCTCAATGGAGACATAGCATTACGTTCATGTTTATTTATAAAGCGCATAACAATACTTCTCTCGCCATTTATCCAATGTTAAAATTTTTTCACCACATTATTTCGCTGCTCAGCACCCTGAATGCGGCCGAACAGTTGCACGCAACCCTCAAGTCCTTTATTGGGACCAAATTAACAGCCACAACAACAAAAACCTTTTCTACTGGTATCACCGTATATACAGGGCCTGTGCCAAATGATAGAAAAGAGAAAATTTTGACGGATCAAAGTAAAAATCTGACATTTCTCGTGGTGAATAAGAACGTCAGAATTTTACCTAGCTCATGGGGCTAGGTAAAATTTTGGCAGCTTATAACCATGTATACACATAATATTGCTTGGCGGTAATAAGGAGTGAACATGAAAATGAAAGCTGAAACAGCATAAAAAAAAGCGTACGTTACTTGCAAATTATAAAATAAATATAAATGTTAAGAATTTCAGCAACACACAAAAATAAAGCTTTCGCACGAGCGTTTGTTTGGTTTTTCAACTGTCAAAATTTTACTTTGCATTTGGCACAGTAAATTT